GTCGCGGACGTCACGCATTAGGGTGAAGCCGGGTGGAACGTTCGTCTGCGCTAGGCGTAAAGCGAAGTGAACCGCTAGACAGCCTCCGGGCGGCAGCCTTGACTGTCAGCGCGAACTGAGCAAGAACCTAGCGGGACCGTCCGGGACAGAGCAAGGGACAGGTATTGCCTCGAAAGGCGTCAGCCTGGAGAGCAAGGCTTGTTCACCCTAGTCTGAGAACGGTGACGCTTCCCTAAGCCCACAAGGCCGAACTCTCTGCGGGTCTAAGGCGCAACAAGCGACCCCGAAGCAACGCGTCGGCAAGCAAGCAGAGGCGGCCACTACGAGCGTCCCGAGACCCAGGATCCAGAGGAGGACGAGTCAACGCGTCGAGGAGCCAGAAAGAGGAGCGCCAGCAGCCGGCGGAACCAGAGCCAAGAGATACCGAAGCCAGCCCAGCCACACACCCGCTGTACTAATACCACGAGAATAAATCCCACTGTTACCATTTGAACACTTTGTTTTCTCACTGATCTACGGGCAATCACGTCATATAAATTTGGTGGGACGAACGCACAATCTTCTGAGCTAACCGCACGAATCTCGTAGCGAGCAGACACACAAAAATCAGTTCGTTACAATTTATTTTAATGTTTGCCAATTTTTTTAGGTTGAAACTTTAGGTTGAGAACGTTTTATTTTACTAGCTGTTGTTAACTGTTATGAGCTATTATTAGATGGTTACTATCTGCTTAGCAGCTGTCTATTAGTTGCTTACTACTTTTTATTAGCTAGTTACTATATGTTTAGTAGATGAATACAAGATGTTTACTAGCTGTTTAGTATCTGATTTCTATATGTTAAGTAGATGTATACAAGTTGTTCACTAGATGTTATTATCTTGTTACTAGCTGTTTAGTATCTGTAAACAAGTTGTTTACTAGATGTTATTAGCTGGTTGCTAGCTCTTTAGTATCTGTTTACTTGATGTTTACTTATTATTATTAGCTGGTTACTAGTTGTTATTAACTTCTACGTGCTTTTATAGTCTTTTGTTAAGAATGATCAAATTCTTGATCACTAGACGAAGTAAAAATGTACACTCTGATTTTCAATGTGTTTGCTATGTACGTGAGAACGAACGCACAATTAAAATATATGAAGATTGATATATAAATCGTAGAGGATAAGTTGTTCACAAGCTGTCTAAGAGCTGTTTATAAGCTGTTTTGATAAACAATTTTGACTCATAACGAGAGATGTTAAGAACATATAATAATTTCATCCACTTTAACTAGTATATTGTAAAAATAAAACATTTCCATTTTTCATATTCTGTCATCTTATGTAGGTATAATAAATGTATTTTTAACAACGCTACCTAGCCTTACATCCCATAACTATAGTTATTAGCTACAATAAAATGTATAGAAAGAGGAAAATATATGCATGTCAAAAAACGATTTAAAACTAACTTTAATTGGGAATGTAATTGAAATCGCTCCGGCGTAATACAGTTAAAACAAAAACACTGTGATTATCCCATTTTCTATCACCATAACAAATGTCTATACCCGCACCTAAGTGACCAATTGTATCCTTTGTCCAAAATGTCTTTGACTTTCACTTATAAATTTGTCACCAATATTTTAAATCTCATTAAGCAAACCACCCATTGCTAACCGTACCATAACCCCCGACTCAGGCGCAAAGGTCATAAAAAATGGTCATAAAAAATATAATAAAGAAAGTATTTTTTATTTGCGAATCATTTATAACTTTTACCAACAACACAAATAGTTATGTTACAAAGGATTGCTAAAATGCCTCGACGCAGGCGCAAAGGTCAAGGTATTGGAAAAAATTCATGGAATATTATCCCTTCATAAGAATGTCTTTGACTTTGACTTATAAATTTGTCACCGATAATTTAAATCCCATTAAGCAAAGCACCCATTGCTATCCGTACCGTAGCCCCAGAGTCAAGTTGGTTACCTACAATAAACACAGGTGGTGGTGTAAGGGATTGCTAAAATGCCTCGACGCAGGCGCAAAGGTCAAGGTATTGGAAAAAATTCTTGGAATATTACCCCTTCATAAAAAAGGTCATAAAAATATAATTAGGAAAGTATGTTTTATTTGCGAACCATTTATAACTGTTACCAGCAACACAAATAGTTATGTTACAAGGGATTGCTAAAATCCCTCGACGCAGGCGCAAAGGTCAAGGTAATGGAAAATATTCATAAAATATTATCCCTTGACCAAAAAAAAAAACAAAATAATAAATTAAAATTTCTTCTACTTAGATAATAAAAATAATATATATTAATTTAACACTTTGATTTTTCCATCAAAATGCCTGATAAAACTAGTGTTTTGACATTCTCTATGATAATATCCCATGATTAATACATATTTCTTATTTGCATATTCATTTCAGAAAATTATTTATTAATCACATTCAAATAATTTTCATAATATATCTTAAAATTTGTTTAGATTTTTGTATTTAGTTTTCCAATTGTTAATATTAAATGATATTGTACATATCCAGCTCTAATACTTTTTTATTTCGTAGTTGAAATGATTTAGTTATAGTTTCCATTTGATGTGATTTCGCCTCATTAATTTTATCATCTACCTAAAATGTTATAGCCAAATCATTTCCATTTATTGGTTTGAAGAGATTTTAATTCTTTTTTTCTGAACATTTGTGTGACCATCAGTGTCTAGATATATACCTGTAAGACTCTCAACTTCGCTTTTGAAAAGCCAGGAAAAATCTCTATCATTTAAAAAGTGACCAAAATTGTCTATAGACATTTTACTATAAAACTAAATGTGAAAATGTTTTCTGTTTTTTAATATTTAATTTTGCTTCCCGCAATTCTTCTCTTATTGAAAAATTTTCATTAGTATGGTTATTATTACCAGCAGCTCTTGATGCCATTAAGAGTTGCAATCTTTCAACAAGTTCATTAACATTATCCCAATATATATAGTTTAGTGTTATTTCTTTTAGTCTTATATACCCAGAACCAATATATTTTTCATTTACTGAAGATGATATTATTGGTTTAATAATTGAAGAATATTTTTTCGAACGATTTCATCTTATTTCACCATCTGGTTGATAGTTTCTTTTGAAAGCACTTGTTTCAATAAAAATGTTTTTATATAATTCTAAATCATTCTTAGTATAATCCTTAGGACTATTATGAAAAATTAAAGAATATAGACCTGGTGATAGAGTCCATAAGTTTCCACTTCCTAATTCCATTACATTTTTTTAATTTTAAGTGTACTATTACCCAACATTAAAATATTATTTTTTCTCTTGGTCCATAACTATTGTCTAAAATCTTTTCTTGCTTTAACTGATTAATGTTGAGATTGTACTTCGCCCCGGTATCTTCATATACACTTTCATTTAAATAATCTGTGTGAGGCTGTTGTGAAGCATCAGATTCATCTATAAGAGACTGTTGTGAAACATCGGATTCATCTATATGAGAGTTTTGTGAAAAAGGATCAACATAAGCATCACTCTCACTATCACTTTCGAGTACTCTCTCATGTACCCTTTTTTTACTTTCAGGTACTCTTATTTTCTCATTCTTGAACTTAGTTTTAATATCATGTGTATCATTAATATATTCCTTTTTGTTCAATTTTTTATTTTCAGTGAGTAATTCATGTAAAGGTTCTGTAATAAGTTTAAAAGTTTCCTTCAAATTTGATGTTCTAATTTCAATTCATTAAATATTCTTTTTAATTAATTTCTACTTTTCGTCAACTGTTCTAAAAGTTTACGCTTCATTGTTGTCGTTTTCTCTGATACTCATGTGCTACTGGGAAAAATGTAGTATAATTTAAATATTTATAACAAAGGGTTTGAGTTTGAGTTTTATATAAATTTTATTTATTTGTATTTTTATTTATCAAAATAGATACATTAATAATATGAAAAATGAATACAATTTAAGCTTTATTTAATTCTAAATAGAGGAAATATCATTCCTTTTAATGGCAAAATTATCCTTTATATATTCATTTGTTGAATCCTCTAGAGTTGAGTATCGTTCCGGCAAGAACAGCATATACTCTTCAAGTTCAAGAGTGAGGGCCATTCCAAAGCTGGTTTTCTTACGTTGAACTCGTCGAATAGGGTAGCGCACGAGTTACGTATAACCCCACTTCACTTCCCACATATGTCCAAAACCCAATTTCTTCATTACCACCTCTTAATAATAAAGTACAAAAATTGCTTAACTCATTAAATGCTAAATAAACAATATATTAAAGTAATACAGCAAACAGGAAATGCACAGGTTAACGATCTGGCACATGCCAACCAAAATAAGTTCTAAGAAAATATAAAATCTAAATAAGCAATATAACACAATAAAGAGGAAATGCATAGTTCATCGATCGTTATTAAATTCAGGCTAACTAGAGGCCAACGATCTTACACATGTCGACCAGAATAATTCGTAAGAAAACCTAATAAGCACTTCTGTAAACCTAAATTAAGTTTTCTTTAAACATTATCAATAAAAAATATTCAGTTGATTTTTGCCACCAAACCCGCTTGACGTGTTTTACTTACAAATAATTTATTTTTTTTTAAAACTTCGCAACTCCTTAAACAAAATTGGCGCAGCCGGTAGGATCCTTTTTAATTAAAGAGGGTCCAGTGATTATTCAAATCGAACTTAACGTGAAGAAAAAAAATATAACAAAAATTTTTTGTGATAAATAAAAAATACAAAAAGTCAGCGAACAGAAGCGAACTAAAAATCAGTTCGCTAAGTGAACGTGGTGCAGTGCATAGAAAAGTGCATTGATCAAAGCAAAACCAGACCAAGCAGCGCAACAGCATTAAATCCAACTAAAAATCAGTGGATTAATGCCTGTAGAGATCGAACTAAAGTCGACTTAGACAGCGCTAAGAAGGAAATCAACTCAACCTGGATATAAGAAGGCAGCGAAGGATCGCTTCATACGACAATAGCAGGATGGCTCACGATAACGGCCAGATGCCCCAAGCGGATCTTTTGGAACAATTGGCCATAAGGGAAAGACAGCTGGAGCAACTGCAACAAGCGTATGTACAGCTCCAAGGAAATGGAAACAACCCAGCCCAACAAGAGCGGTTGTTCAAAAACATCAATCGTTTGGCAACCTTTACGGGAACCGGGGAAATCTCCATCAACTCCTTCTTCAGTAGCGTGGAGTACCTGTTACAGACGGTAGAGGACCCACAACTCAAGAGAGAAGCCACAAGGACAATATTCTACAGGACAATTCAGGGTCAAGCAAAGGATGCAGTAATAAATATCCCGGAGCCGGACAACTGGGACCTGATAAAAGCCACCTTGAAGTTAAGGTACAGACCAGACACGGAGCCGCACCAAATCTACAAGAGGATATGTGACCTGAGAGTGAATTCGGTGAGCGAGCTTGCAGTAGAAATTCAAAATATAAAATATAAAAATGATGAATTAATTGTGTATCATATGAATGATAATTTTATAGATTTAAGTAATGTCGAAATTTTATTAGTTAACACAGCCAAAGAAATGACACAAGGCACTTTACTAGACAAGATCTACGAAGTCAGAGATTTAAGTACTATATTAAAGATAATGATGCAACGCAGATATGAGAATAGTTGCATTAGGTATCAGTATAGGAAAGGTAGACCTAATCAAAACAATTACAGGAACAACAACCAGAATACCAATCAACAATATAATCAGCAAAACAATACAATGCAAAATGCACATCAAAATAAGAATACCAATCAACAATATAATCAGCAAAACAATACAATGCAAAATGTACATCGAAATTATCAGAGCAACAATTCAGGACAAGTTAGACAGAACAATACCCCTCAGAATTTTAGAGGCAATAACTCCGGACAAAGTAGACGATATCAAAATAATCAGTGGAATCAACAAGCAGGATCACATCAGTCTATGCAAAATAGGCCAGCGAATGTGGTACCTATGGAGGTAGATAACATAGAAGCCAACCAACACCAAAACAATACCGACCAAAGCAGATACGAAAATGACAACTACAACAGTGACCATAACTCGAACAGTAAACACGATAATAATCAAATGGAAAACTATCCACAGGCAGAATTCAATAATACGGGTTTTTTTACGAAGCCGCCTCGGATGGGTTACCACTAATAGAACTTAACATAGACAAACAGAAATACGTGGCCTTAATAGACACAGGAGCCACCTTGAGTTTAGTTAGCGACCAGATTAACGGTTACAGAAAAATGAGACTAAATACGCCCATACCATACACTACAATTAACAGCAAAGACGTAATAGCGTACGAAATTCATACCACAGCCCCAAAAGAATTTAACTTACCAAATAACGCAAGAGTACGATGAAAATTAGCCCCGCTTAAGGGAAGAAAATGCAATTTTATCATAGGGATAGACCTCCTAAATTTTTTGAATGCATTTATAAACATTGAGAGGAAGGTTTTAATTTTAAAGTTTCTGTATTAGAAGGTAGCAGTAAAAACTTAGAGAATTTGAAACTCGACCACTTAAATGAAGAAGAAGTCAGAGAAATTAAAGTCATTGTACAACGATTTAGCAAACTTTTTTTTAAGGAGGGAGACCAACTAACTAGTACGACAGAAATTGAACACGAAATACGGACCAATACAAGTAGTAGGGAAACGCGGATTCTGGACAATTAGCATATTAATTTGTTTCCGCCCCAGAACGTTTAACTGGTAAATTGTCTAAGATTCTCTCCTTTCCACAAATGGGTCATAAACATGTCATAAAAGGGATTCAAGCAAGAGCTACCCGAACATGCGCACCTGTCTATTACCTGACCGGAATAAAAGGGACACATGCACAAGTCTGAAGGCGCACGCCCATGACAAAATCATGAGCCCACGCCAACGACCTCACGGCTAAGTGCGAGCTCTAATACGTTCCCATAATAGGGGTTGAAGTCACGACCGCGCAACAACTCGCAAGTAGCCGACATATTCTCAGTCAAGGAAATATATTTTCCATTCTTCCGTACCTGTAATTTTAACTCGAAATAAAATGTCAGAAGTTTATTTTGTACCATAAAAATACATTTATTCATTTACATTTATTTATTTTGGTATTGCGAACATTTTTTTTGTATATATAGAAATTTATTTTCTGCTATGATTCCGGCGATTTGCATAGAAGAAGCAGGCGCACGTTTCCGACGTCATTTCTGGATTACAAAATGTAAAGTGTTCACCATAATTCGTAGTTTTGAGGTCATGTCCACCTCGATTCATGAACATAGTTTTTGTGTTTAGAAGGTATTGAAAATGCTGACCAATTATCTCTCCTTTAAATTGTTCAATAAATTGGTCAATTTCCTCATGAAACTTAATTTGGTTAATTTTGTTTTCTTGCACATCCTTACACATCTAGTCTCAACTTTAAAATAATGTATAAAAATTATTTTATTGTTTTGAAGCTACTTTTAAAAAATGTCAAAATAATGTATGCATTGTTTAGAGCACAAACCCCGCCCTTAAGGTGTGTTTCACAATAGGGAAACCGGTTTCCTTTAAACCTGTTTAATGACGGACAGCCCATTTCCTCGACATTAATGAGCTGACGACTCCCAAAAAACGTCTGTAGAAATCGTTTCTTTTCCACACCTTTACAAATAATTTGTTTTCCGCTTGTAATTGTCCTTAGATACTTTCGAGTTTGTGGAAAACTGTTTCTCTCCATCGTTCCAAAAAATTTAGAGGCGTGTATTAGTTAACCAAATTGCAGTCTTTCGAGATTTTGTATTTAGCAAAGTAAAATCATATGGTGGTTCTATTAATAAACTATTATTCAAGTTTGGATCTTTTTCGAATACAATTCCAATTTCTTTTAGAATAAAATTATTATTATTATCAAAGAATCCTTGAACATCAATCGAAACAGTATCTTTCAACATTTTGCTAATGTTAAACAACTCGTTGTACTAGTCCGTTTAATGGGTTATATTCAACTAAACGGTCATGTATGAGGAGACAGTAAGCTTGGGTATTTTCATGACTTGGTGTCTTCAGTTCTATTGAAATTCTCACATCAATAGGACCAGTTTTACTGATTCGTTTTGATATGAAAGATCAACCACAATAATATGGCCTTCAATTTAAATTCATTTGGGGTCAAAAATGGTTGTGACTCACGATTATAGTAACTAGATTGAAATCTTGTATACATTTCATATAGGTGAGCATACTGATTCTTACTAAAATCAACATTCAGATTATCATATGGATATGACTCTGAATTCAAGTGAACTTTCAAGTTTGATAAGTTATTTGTGATAAGTTCTCCATTTAGTGTAAATCCAATTATAGCAAATCTTGGTTTTTCGCGGTTAGCCGACAATTTCACATTCCAGCTGTGTTGACTTCCATACCCCAATTTGGGGTTAACATATGAATCCCAACTCCGGAATGCGAATGGTAGGTTTACACCACTTTTAATAATATCGTACATCTTAATTTTTGCAAAATCGCTCGGAGTTACATGGGGAATTTTCCAGGTTATATTCGTCATTTCCAACTTAAAAGTTTGTTCATTTCTGGTTTGTTCAAACACATCACCAAGATTCTTAGTTAGCATCAACACTAGTTCGTGTTTACAATTTAACAAAACTTTTTTATAATCCTCAGCAAATCCCAATAAATTTTTTAATGGTACAGAAAAGTTAAAGTGGGGTCCCGTAGATATTTCGTCCCCACTGCTCCATCCGGAATTTAATAGATTTTTGACTTTGAAGATTATCCAGAGATATATAATTTTTGGGTTGTAGTCATACCGACAAATCGTGTTTTATCAATCTCACATCCATTTATTTCGTACTTAATTTCATCCAAAAAGTAAGCCATACAATTATTTTTAAAAAAAGTGGTAACATTTTCAGTTGTAGGTCCATTCGGTGAATCTTTTCTAATTGTACGCCGGGGGCAGCGGGGTACCGTGCTGGCGCTGGTGGAATGGCGTGGGAGGCGAAGGCGGGAAAACGGTCGGCGTCGGCGGGCTGGTTCGCTGGGCTTCGCTGGCTTGCTGCTGGTGCGGTTTTGCTACTGGTGCTGATGAAGCTGTTGGGGAGAAACCACTCGAACGCGTATTTGCCCCTTAGTCGGAAATAAAAGTGCACAAGAAGTTAACCTGGGTAAAAAGTAGGGGGTACGACCGCGGTTTATTCTCTTGAACTTCAGAAATCGAACTGACTTAGTCTAAGCTCCGCTCTGCGCTCCAAAGCGCAGCGGAGACTTCATGGCGGGAGCTAGGAACAGCGCAGGAGAGCGGGAGCGCGAGAGAGCGGGAGAGCGGGAGAGCGGGAGAGCGGTAGAGCGGTGCAGCTGGTGCAGCTGGATAGCGGGGCCAGTCCAGATTCGCCGGACAGTGGGCCTGAACATTCCGCCCCCTTGCAATCGCTAGCGTTGCAAAAATAATAACGGAGACGGAACTTCGGCCAGCCGCCTACGCCTCAAGCCTGCGTACAGGCGCCAGAGACGATCCACCCGAACACCGTCTTCTGGGCTACCGGCAGTCCCTCGTCGACCATGTGAAAGCCCGGCTTTATCACCTTCGGGTAGACGTCTGCGCCCAGGATCAATGAGATCGTGGCTGGCCGGTGGAAAACCTCATCCGCGAGCGGTAGCTCCTTAAATTTTTGGACGACGCTCTCACTGAGCGCACGGATGGGAGTGCGGATGCGCACGTTAGGCTCGATCTTGAGGACCACCTCCAGCTTGATGGCCTCGTCGACCCTCGAACGAATCGTCGCCGTGCATATGCTCTCGTCGCCCACGTTCGTTGTCGGCAAACGCAACGCGGCGGCCAGGGATGCATCAATGGAGCTTGTCGGGGTGCACGGATCGATGAGTGCGGCGGTGTCGAACTTCTTCTCTCCGGTCTCGACGATCACCACAGCAGTCGGGAGGACATTAACGCTATGCCGCTGGAGAAGTGCGGCGAGCGACGGAGCTGGTGTCGAGGATGCTGAGCGCGGTGGAGGAGCAGGCGTTTGGCGAGTTGGCGGATCTTGCCGGCGCGAACGCTGCGGAGAAGCGGGCTGTTGCTTGGAGCGGGACTTTTGCTTGGAGCGGGACTTTTGCTTGGAGCCGGACTTTTTCCGGGAACCAAGGTCATGCATGTGCAGCAGCGTGTGATGATCCCGGTTGCACGTTCTGCACCGGTCACCGCTACGACAGCTCCCAGTGGAGTGCTCGTGTGCGAGACAGTTCGCGCAGTACTTGTTAATAAGCACTGCCCGCAGCCGCTTCTCTGCGCTCAGCTTTAGGAACCTCTGACACTTCCGAAGAGGATGGATTCCGCGGCAGACTCGGCATCGGTAGGACTGAGTACCTCCAGTACGTCTGCTATCCAGAGCCTGAGCGC